TGAGGCAACCCACTAGCTCAGCGTAAGGACCACTGGGATCTACCGACTCCTCAGGAACTGGAGCGGAGAGTCTGTGGTCCAGAGGAAGAGGGGTGGGCTGTGCGGAGGAGAACTGAAGGCCGAACCTCTGAAGGACCTGGCGCACCAAGTGTGACTGAGTCAGGGTGATGGTGCGCGCGGCTCTGTCCCTGGAGATCTGCAAGCCAAGGTAACGGCGCAGCTCTCCAAGGTCAGTGCAGGTGTGTCTCTTCAGCAGCTCTGCCTTCACGGAGGCCAGTGCGTCCCTGTCAGCTGTGGCAAAGACCAGGTCGTCTACGTAGACGAGGATGTAGAACGGAGTCGAGCCAGCACGAACGAAGAGCGAGGGGTCTGCAGAGGACGGAAAGAACTGCAGGTCAGCAAGAGTAGAACGCAGCGTGTCGTGCCACTCACGAGGCGCCTGGCGCAGGCCGTAGACTGGGCGCCGCAGAAGCCACTGGGTCCCAGGGGGGAAGGTGCCAGTAAAGCCCGGAGGACGACGCAGGTAGACCTACTCGTGAAGGCTGCCCTGAAGAAAGGCAGTGGAGAAGTCGAGGGAGTGAAGCTCGTAGTCACGCTGAGCCGCTACGTGTAGCAGAACCCGAAGAGTAGTCATCTTCGGGGTAGGAGCGAAAGTCTGAAAGAAGTCCACCCCCTCGCGCTGACTGAAGCCTCTAGCCACGTAGCGCGCCTTGAACACAGGCGGCTCTCCAGGAGGGCGCTTCACCTTGAAAAGCCAACGGCCATCGACCACGTTCACCCCAGGTGGGGGAACTGCGTCGACGAAGGTGCCGGTGGATCTCCAAGATGCCATCTCCTGCTCCATGGCAGCTATCCACTGAGAGGCCCAAGGTCCCGAAACCGCCTCAGCGTAAGTACGAGGGGTCGGGATGTCAAAAGCGTATGGGTCACCCTCAGGGACTAGCAGCATGGAACAGAGATGGGGAGCAGCCTCGGACAGGAAAGCAAGCTCGAACTGGCGGTCCTCCAGGACGTCACTGCCGAGGGCAGGAGCACCCCCGACAGACGGAGGACAGGCAGGGTCAGAGACCAGAGCGGAGGCGTAGTCAAGGCGGCGGGTAGAGGCGAAGTCAGCGACCGCAGCGACAAGGGCGTCAAGACTCGACACTGGAACAGACGGGTCGGTAACGAGACAGGCAAGGACCCGAGGAACAAGAGGACGAGCGGCACGAAAGTAGTCAGACAGAGGAGGAGACGCAACGACAAGAGAGGACGGAGGAGGAGACGGGAGGAGGGGAGGACGAGACGCGTGGGAGCGGAGCAACATAGGGTGAGTGCGCGGGACGGGGGAGACAGGACGAGCATGGGAGGGGCGGCGAGACCAGACGTGAGAGGGCGGCGTCGGGTCAGGAGACAGAGGAGGGGACACGGGTGGGGAACGAGGGGGAAAACGAGCCGGGGACGAGCCCGGCGGAGGGAACACAGGGCCGTAGACGGGAAGAGGGGGAGACGGCCGGGGAGGAACAGGCGCAGGGTCAGGGGACGGAAGGCCGAGCAGACGGAGGGCGGACACCGGCGGGGACTGCTGCTGCGGCGACACAACACCAACGCCAGGGCCACAAGCTGCGCGACGGCTACCTCCCGAACCCTCCACACCGGCACCCCCAGAAGGGACACCACCAGAGCCCGAAACACCGCCAGCACCGGTACCACCCCCAGGCCCGCCGGGACAAGCCACGACAGGAGCCCCGGGACTAGTACCCACCTCAACTCCAGCACCCCCAGAGTCCACAAACAGCGGCAGCGACGACGGCGGCGGCGGCGGCGGCGGCTGCAGCGACGGCCTCGACGGCGGCGGCGGCGGAGACGACGGCTGCAGCAGCTGCGGCGACGGCGGCTGCGGAGGCGGTGGAGGAGGAGACACCGGGGGAGGGACAGACGGCGAGGACTGCGCCAAAGGACTACCAGAGTCAGAAGACTCGTCGACCGGAACGACCGACGGGAGGGGGGTGACGTGAGACACACCAGAGGGGGCCGGACGGGGGGGCGGGGGGGGGGGAGGGGCAGGGGCCACCAGGGAGGGAGGAACCAGGAACAGGGGGGGAGTAACCGGGGGACCACGGTGGGGAAAGCGGCGGAAGAAGGAGACGGACTCGTCAAAGGTGACGTCGCGAGAGTGAAAGAAACGGTGAGACGGCGGGTGGTAGAAGTGCCAGTCGGACGCGTCAAGGGGGAAACCGAGGAAGACGCAGGGGAGGGTGCGGGCAGTGAGCTTGTCCGTGCCAGAGGCACGAACGTGAGCAAGGCAGCCCCAGACGTGGAACGCAGACGCGTCACCAGGGGACCCGGTCCACAGAAGGGTCGGCGAAACCTGCGGCCGCTGGGGGTGCGGCCACAGGTTAAGCTGGTGAGCGGCGTAGCGCACGGCGAACGGCCACAGAAAATGGGGTGCACCGGCGTGGATCATGGAGGTGCGAGCCACCTCCATGACCAAACCGATGCGTCGCTCAGCGACCCCATTCGGCTGCGGGGAGTCCGGCAGGGTAAACGTCTGGGTGATGCCCTCCGCACGACAGAAGCGACCAAGGACACCTGAGGCGAACTCGCCACCCCGGTCGGAGTGGAGGCGCAAGGCAGGGAGACCGCGGTGGAGACGAGCAGAGACAAGCCAGGGGATGAGAACGTCAGGCACGTCGGCCTTCCGCTCCAGGGGAAAGACGGTGGTGTAACGTGTGAAGTCGTCGACAAGCACTAGGAAGAAGCGCTCGCGACGCGGCCCATGGACCGGGGCTGGGCCCCAGACGTCCATGTGCAGAGTCTGCAGGGGTGCGGTGGTAGGGGGAAAAGAGGAGGAGTGAGGGGCACGGCGGAGCCGGCCCTCGACACAAGGCGTGCACGGTGGGGCGGGGGATGAGGGAAACTCAGGGAACGAACCGGGGAGACCAAGGACGAGACCGTGCTGGGACATGTGACGCAGACGCGGGAGTGCAGGGTGACCAAGGCGGTGGTGCCAAAGGAGAGTCGGATGAGTGAGGGACCGACAGGAGCACGCAGCAGCAACCTGGGTGGACGCAGCTACCTGGGGGGAAGACCCAGCCGGGGACGTCGCGGTGTCAAGTGTGAACAGGCCGGACACCGGGTCCCGGGGGAAAGTGGTAAGGGGGGCACCAGTGGCGGCCTCGGTACAGACAGCATACCGCTCGTGACCAGGGAACGTAGTGGTGACGCCAAGGTCCTGGAGGCAGCCGACACCAACTAGGTTCCTGGAGAACGAGGGGATATGCAGACCGGTGAGCGAACCTGAAGGAACCGCCGGACAGGGAAGGGAGGTGGAACTGCGGGCAAAGACGGGACCACCGGAGGGGTCAGCAAGAGTAACTGCAGCAGGAACAGGCAGCGGCGTCAGCGTCGTGGAGTCGCGGAAGAAACACCGGGAGGCGCCAGAGTCCAAGGTGAAGGAAAGCGCAGCAGTCGCGCGGGGCGACAGTGAAGCGGTGGAAGCACCGAGGCTAAGCAAAGCAGGAGATCCTACGCCTGACGCAGCAGGGGAGTCTACGCTAGGTACAGCTACACTAGGCAACACGGGGTAATAAGAGGGAAGCACACTAGAGTCATCGGCATACATCACATGCAAGGCTGCTACAATGGCATCCATGTCCAAGTCAAAAATCCGAATGCTACGCCTAAGCAAGCTGTGCCAGTCCGGGAGGTCGGGCGCCGGGCCAAAGCGCTGGCGGAACAGGTCGTCCAGACGACGAAAACAGCGAGGAGTGGAATGACCGATCTTACCGCAAACGAAGCCGCGGCGAGGACCGGTCTGGATCTGGTACTGACAGGGCCCGCCTCCAGAACCACCACCCGGTGCACCACCACGCGCACGACCACCACCAGCTCCAGGCCACCCAGGCGGGAGAGCACTCGCCGGCCTCGTCTGCGGCGGCTGCTGCGGCTGCTGCGGAGGCTGCTGCTGCTGCGGCTGCTGCAACGGTGGAGGCAGCGGGGCAGCTGGACCGGGCAGGGTCCCCACGTCCGCACCGGCACCGGACGACCCGCCTCCACCACTACCCCCACCCGCACCCCCGCCACCTCCGCCGCTCCCAACCTTGGGGCGGCGGCCCTTCCCCGAGCGGGACTGCACTGCAGCAGCAGTCTCAGCCACATCGACAGAGCCGTCGGAGAAGGTACACTGAGCGGGGGCACAACCCTGAAAGATAGGGACCGGTACTGTACCGCTCGCCTGGGCTATGGAGCGGTGACGAGTCTCTATGGCAGTCAGGGTGTCAACAAAGTCGGTGAGGGTGAGAGCAGCAGGGTGGATGCTAAGGAACTGGTCGCGGGCGGCGGCAAGGCGGTCAGGGAGGCGGGTGGCAAGGAGGTAGAGGGTAGAGGTCATGGGAGGCTGGTGGACTCTAAGCTGTGCATCAGTGCAGGCAGCGCGCCAGGCCTCATCTATCGAGCGCAGGTGGGCAGCGAGGTCAGAGACAGTGGGGAAGGACGCCAGGTCAGGAAAGAGCAGGGGGAGGATCAGGCGACCCACTGAGGCAGCAGGAGGGGTAGAATAGCGCTTGATGACAGGCCCGAGAAAAACTCAGGCGAAAGATTAATCAAGACGAGCGATACCCTTTGACACTCTGCATTTAATTACGCGTCCACGCATTTGCAATTACAACTCAGACGAGCGATTTTTTTTTTCGTCTGAAAAACAGACTGCGAAGAAAACTTCGTCAGACTCGTCCGAAAATTTCAGATGATCGTCAGACGGGCGCCAAAAATTTAGTCTGATGTTCAGACAGCCTCAAATCCTAGCGAGAGCCGTGGCTGTTACTGGAGGTACTTCCAGTATTAGTTTCTACTTCAAGTACTTGTGTCTGCAGATTCTATACTTGGTCTCCTGCACCACCTTTCAATTTCTTTCAGTGTGAAATGCTTTGTTGCAAGACTGCTTCTGCTATGTACGACTAGTACTTACTGTTTTCGCCCCCAGTTATTGAAACCACCTAGTACTCTTTAGGGGTATGTCCTCCCAAAAACATGGAACTCGCAACCAAGGGCCCACAAATAATTTGCACCCAAGCACTGGCCAGGTGTATCATGTCGTGTCTGTTAATTCATTGAGGGGCTATAGGCTATAGCACATATACTTTTACTAACCCCATCTTCTGTTGCATACCCCGTTATCCAGCATGCAAATTCTCTTCAGTCCATTTCAATAGCTTTTATCAAGCTATTGGCAACCGTCTCAAATCCTCCAGTCTCAAACTCCGTGTCCAAGAGGCGGCCTCCTCCCATTCCGGCGGCACAACATAGCTCCCCTGCCCTCCTCTCGTATGCCCCATGCAGTTGAAATGCACAATCCGCCAGCAACTCCCGTTTGCCTCGCGCCCTCTCGAGGTGAGTCCGAGGAAGGGCAGCGGCTTGGTGCAGCCGGAGACGTTCCAGAGGCGCGGCAGCACACGGCAGCGGTTGGGCATCTGCTTGCACGTCCACATGAAGAGGAACTGGTCGCCGTCCTCCACGTAGTCCGCTAGCTCCTTGGGCTTGTGCGGGCCTAGCGTGTCCACGAACAGCTGAGAGAGGGGGGGGGGGGGGGACAGGGGGCAGGGAGTAGGGGACAGGGGGCAGGGGGGGGGGGTGGGGTGCAGGGGGCAGGGGACAGGCGGCAATGGGAAGGGAGAAGAGGCGGGAGGCAGGGCTGAGATGGAAGGGGAAGGGTCAGCATAGAGGAGGCAGGTAACGCGAGGAGCACAGGAACTGGAGGGGAGAGAATGACAGGGGAGAAGGACGTAAAGGCAGTGCATGAGCGTGGGAGGGAGAGAGAGATGAAGAGGAGCTGGTCGCCGTCCTCCACGTAGTCCGCTAGCTCCTTGGGCTTGTGCGGGCCCAGGGTGTCCACGAACAGCTGAGAGGGGGCCACGAGTAAAAAGGGGGCAGGGGAAGAGAGGAAGAGAGGCAACAGGGGGATGGGAGGCAGACGTGAGGCAGGATGTGAAAGGGAACTGATCACTGCCCTCCGCGTAGTCAGCAAGCAGCTTGGGATTGTGCGGCCCAAGGGTGTCCACAAACAGCCGCAAAAGGCGGGGGGGGGGGTTGGGTGATAAGAGGGGAGAGGTGGGGTGGAAAAGGTAGGGGAAAGGGAGGGAACATATGGAAGGAGAGGAGAAAGGGAAGCGGAGGGGGGGAAGAGGGTGCAGGTGAGAGATATGGGGGATGAGGAGGAAATGTTGAGGAGGGGGTGGTCAGTGGGGGAGGATGCGAGAGTGTGGTGGCATGCCATGGCACATGAAGATGGTTTCCTTTCCATTGCCCTGCCACGTATAAACACTCGTCATCGGCTGGCAGTGAATGATCATAATGCAAGCACAGCACAATCTGACAGGAGCAGTAGGGGGGCTGGAGGCTACGATTTTCGCCCATCCCACACCGCCCTAACCCAACCCCCCTCCTCCCTCCGCCTTCACCTCGGGGGTCCCACCTGCTTGAGGTTGGCCTGGTGCCTTCTCTGCATGTCCGGCACCAGCTGGCAGGAGCAGTAGGGGCGCAACAGCCAACAGATCCCCCCACCCTTCCCTCCACTCCCCACCCTTTCCCACCCCCCAACAATCTGCTGCCCCTCTATACCCCCTTCCCCTCCCTTCACCCCACCTGCGTGAGGTTTGCCTGGTGCATTCTCTGCAGCTCCAGCACCATCTGGCACGAGCAGTAGGGGCGAAGGAGGCACCAACTACCCCCACTCCCTTGACCCCCTCCTCCGCTCCCCCTCAACAACCCCAGCTTCCACCCCATTCACCCCACCTGAGTGAGGTTGGCCTGGCGCATTCTCTGCAGGTCCAGCACCATCTGGCAGGAGCAGTAGGGGCGCAGGAGGCGGCGTGCGTTGGCGCCCTCGGGGTGGTTGTTGCTGATGAAGTAGAGCAGGTCGGGGTCGTGCGCCATGGACAGGAAGAAGTCCCACAGGTCCTGGATGTCGCCCGCCACGATCATGTCCACGTCCAGGTAGATGGCTCGTTGTACCTGGGGGGGAGAGGGGGGGTGTTGGGGGGGGTTGGTGGAGTTGGGAGGGGAGGAGGTGGTAGTTGCATGGCGGTGAAGCAGAGCTTGTGAGCGTGAGAGCGAGGGGATGCGCGCAGATCCCACAGGTCCTGGATGTCGCCCACCACGATCATGTCCACGTCCAGGTAGATGGCTCGCTGTACCTGGCGGGGGTGGTGGGGGGGTGGGGGGGGTTGGAGAGGGGGAGGGGAGGAATGGGTGGATGGGTGGAGGGTGCGGGCATAGTTGTTGGTGGTGAACATGGGCACGTGGCTGTGAGTTTAAATCAATGAATGCAGCTATCCCAGGTCCTGGATGTCACCCGCCACAATCATGCTCACGTCCAGATAGATGGCACGCTGCAACTGGGGGGGGGAGGGGGAGGGGGGGATGGATGGATAGGTGGATGGATGGGGGATGTGGTTGTAAGTGATGAGGAAGAGCATGTGGCTGTGAGTTTGAATTGGAGCATGCAGGCATCACAGGTCCTGGATGTCGCGTGCACCTGGGAGGGGGAGGGGGTGGGGATGGTCCATGGGCGGGCGTGCGAGAGAGAAAAGGAGGAAGAGAATGAGAGAGGGTGGGGGAGGGGGGGCGTGCGGTATGGGGAAGGAGGAAATGCGTGGTGAAAGGGAGGGACGGAGGGAGGAGGGCGACGATAGCAACGAGCAACAAAAACTTGTTGAGCTGTGCAAGCTGGACTTCACCACTCGCCCAAATACAAGCCCTGCGATCGCACTGGCGCTTGAAGATGTTTCCTTGCAGCCACACCGCCACCCACGTGCAACAGCTCCATGCATCTTCACGCACAAACATCGCACCAAAACCCCATCACAAGGCCCCAACCATCCCATCACAAACAGGCGTAAACATCCAAAAAACCCCGGCCCCACCCCCTCCTCTCCCGCCCACCTGCCACAGTATCTCGGCCATGAAGAACTTGCTCATGCCCGGCACGCCCGCGTGGTGCGCCAGCGGCCACAGGTGCAGCGCCTTTGCCCTTTCCACCACATACTCCATCGGCAGATAGTGCAAGCTGAACAGCACCGCCGCGCGCTGCCGGCTCGGCACCCCATTACTATACCCCCTGGCCGCTAGATCCTTGGCCGAGGGGTTGCCGACGGTGGCGCCGCGGCGCTTGGGGTGGATGTAGGGCGAGGGGTTGGGGAAGAGCTCGGTGGCTTTAAGGGACGCCATTAGAGAGCGCAGGGCGGACTGCTCGGGCTCGCCCGCTATGATGAAGTGGATGTGCAGGGGGCAGCGCGTGCCGTAGAGGAGGGACTTGAGCATGGACTCGGTCTCGTCCTGAAGGGGGGGAGAGGAGGGATGGGGGAAGGGAGGACCCAGGAGGGGGGGAGGGGGAGAGGAGAGAGAGGCGGCGGATGGGGGTAGAGAGGAACGGGGGGGAGGAGGGAAGGAAAGGGTGATGACGATGGAGTTAGGGGATGACTGGGTACATAAATGAAGTGGATGTGAGGGCGGACTGCTCGGGCTCCCCGACGAGGATGAAGTGGATGTGCAGGGGACAGCACGTGCCGTAGAGGAGGGGTTGGAGCATGATCTCCATCTCGTCCCTTGAAAGCAGGGGATCACAGGGAAGAGCAACAGTAGGGGAGGGAAACAAGAGTAGCCAGAGAGGAGAGGGAAGTCAGGGGGTGGGACCTGGGAGCCAAAGCAGTCAGTGGGACAAGGGTAAGGAGGCATATGCGTAAGAAGTGGGATTTGGTGAAGGTGCGGATGCAATGCAAGTGAGATCTGGAGAGAGGCACAGGCAGAGTGGACACTCATCAACACGCACCAGTCCTGGGCCATCTCCCATCCTCCTCTCTATCCCACATGCTGCCTTCCCTCTCCCCGCACTCTGTACCCCTCTCCCCCACATGCCCACATGCCCACATGGCCTCCACCCACTATATCCACAGCGCATCACCGCTCAGCACACCACGACCAACCTCCTGGCTTACCCTCATCGTCCTCTTCCCATGCTGTCCCTTCACCATCCCTCTACATCCCTTTCACACGCATCTCCCCTCTGTCCTCCCCATTCCCGCCCTATTCTCTCACAAAAGCCTTCAACTCCTATCCCCAGCCCCCTTGATTTCACTGATCCCCCTTCCCTTCTCTCTAACCACCTCCTCATCTTGCTCCCTGCACCTAACCTCCCTCCCTCCCTCTCACCTCCGTCCCTCTCCCACCTCACCTCCCTCTCTCACCTTCTCCTCACCTCCCTTTCCCCCACCTCCCTTTCCCCCACCTCCCTTCCTCCCACCTCCCTTCCTCTCACCTCCCTTCCTCTCCCCTCCCTCTCACGCCCCCCTCTCACCTCGCCCTCTCACCTCGCCCTCTCACCTCGCCCTCTCTCCTCGCCCTCTCTCCTCGCCCTTTCCCCTCCCACTCTCCCCTCCCCTTCTCACCTCCGCCTCTCCCCTCCCCGTCCCCCATCCCCATCCCCCTCTCTCCTCCCCCTCTCCCCTCCCCATCCCTTCTTCTTCCCCCCCCTTCTCACCTCCCCCTCACCTCCCCCTCTCGCCTCCCCGCACCTTGGTCTGTGCCTCTCGCTCCCACATGGCCGAAACGAACACCAGCTCCACCCGCTGCCCCTTGGGCAGTCTGCATGCCACCACGGGCCGCGGCACAGCACACGCATCAGCCTCAGCCACCTCCACGATCCTCCTCACAGGCGGGGGTGGCTTCTTCGCCTTCTTCTTCTTCTTCTTCCCCTTCCCCCCAGCCCCCTCATCCCCCTCCGCCCCTTCCCCCTCTTCCCCCGCTGCGCCCGCCCCATCTCCCCCCTGTGTGCCGTTACCCCCGGGCAGAGCGCCAGGCGGGGGCGGCACTCGGTGCCAGGGCAGGCGGTCGATGGCGTCCCACTCATCCATGGCCGCTACTGCGTCCTCGTCTATGTCTGTGGGGAGGCCCCCTGCATCCTCTAGTAGGTCACGCTCGTCCGCACTGCAAAGAGGAGGGGGTGGGGCGGGGGTGGGGGGTGGGGGAGTGAGGAAAAATCGGCGCAGAGGGAGGAGGTGTTGGGGGCAATTCGCGTGTGCGTGCGTGGGTGTGGGTCTGCGGGTTTGTGCGTGTGTGTGTGTGTGTGTGTGTGTGTGTGTGTGTGTGTGTGTGTGTGTGTGTGTGTGTGTGTGTGTGTGTGTGTGTGTGTGTGTGTGGTGCGTGCAGGAGCCCTACCAGCGGACATAGATGAGGACGCAGAGGCGGCCACAGCCGAATGGGGCTGACCAACTTTCCTTACGATCGACAACCATGACATGCGTTCCCCCGCGTTCCCCCGCGTTCCCCCGCGTTCCCCTGCGCCCCCCCGCATCTCCTGCCTACTTTCCTCGTCTCTTGCTCCCTTCCCGCGTGCTCGCGTCAACCCGGCTCACCTGGCGCGCGGCCGGGAGAAGGAGGCGATGAGCAGGATGGCGGCCGCCATGGCGATCAGCAGCACGCGCAGGTCGCGGCTGCCCACGCGGCGGAACCCCCACGTCGTGCCGTCCCCGCGTCCCTTTCCCGCTCTGCTGTCCATCATGGGAAACTATCGACAGTCAATATACGTAATTCCAAACCACTCGGCGGTCGGTTGCCAAATTCCTGTAATTTCTTCAAGACCAATTCTAGTCGGTACCCTTCACGGCGTCACGAGGTGGCAGGTACCGGCAGACGGGGAGGGATCCCCATCATGCTGGCCAACTGAAAGTGTTGGGAGTTTGTTGAGAGTGCTCGCAATAGAAGGGGTTCACCGCACAACGCGCTGGCGAGATTGGGATAGCTCGCTTGTTTCTGGCACGGATCAGGAATAAGGTTCGCAAAACGCAGTGGTATTTCAAAGGTAAGTAAGAGGAAGGAGGCTTCAGGGGGGCGCGATCTTTTGGGTTGAATGGCGTTGGCGTTCGTTCTCGTTCATTTGAATCCACGGGTTCGGTTGGGTGAAATGCACTGCACGGGTCTCTTTTCATTTCCGGTCACCCCGTCAAATTCGCAACGGGTAGGGCTACTCTCTGTGAACTTGAAATTCGCAGAACTCGAGAACTACCAAAATACATCAGAAATTCTCATTCTAAGGAGCAATTCCTGGCACTGCGTGAAGCTCCAAGTTTCGACTTCTCTCACAAATTTGGGTAGGATGTTGGAGAGCTGATAACGTATTGGTATACAATCAGGTACCAGGAAAATTCCAATGCGTTTGCTGATTTGACTGTTAAACATTATCCTGTCACGAGGCTACGCCCTCCAACCTTGAGCCCTCTGCCCGCAACCTCCAATTTCTCCAATTCCTCGAACTACGCAGAGCCAGCCACTAGAACTCACGAACAGTTACAATAAAGAACAGCCAATCACGCGAGCTTATGATTCGCGAACTACAATAACAAAGGCCTAGACTCTGTAACCATCTCTCGCACAATGTCGCAACTTCGCGCCACAACAATGGCGTGGTGTCATGATACCGTGTAGCTAGGGGAGGGGCCACAATCAATCTGCATCCGCTCCACAGCATCGATTGCACCGGAAACATCGCCTCGTTTTAATATAACACACACAATAATGAGTTAATCTTCTTTTGTTGCTTACAAGAACCCACAAACTAAGCTCATTATGTATGCAAAAAAAAGGGAAGGCAAGAACCATCACCATCCAATATTAAGTATGCTATAGTGGCAACCTGTTATAAATGTGATAGTTTTACACCTGTTGTATAGTTTGCCTGTCCGGCTAGCACTCTTTCGCTGTGCAAGTCACACTTGTGCTTCCACTGTACCCAACATGTTGGCCTAGCGTGCAGCCTTTCTTTGCTCGTATAATCTGCCCTCATGAGTTGGCGGGTGGAGGGGGGGGAGGGGATTGGGCATAATAGAAAAAGGAAGGGTGTGCAGAGAAGGATGGATTAAACAGTGAACGAACAGGTATACTAAACGTGTCTTGTGGGGCCAAAGTGGGAAAGCAGCTGGTTCTACTCACACGCCAGATAGTGCGAGGCCGTTCCTGTTCCTGGTTGATCGGACCAAATCAAGATACGAATAGGGGGACGCTGGGAGGTGGCATACAACATTCGTTGCGATTGGTGCAAGGACACGCAAGAACGCCGAGCCTGGGGAAAGGGGAATGCAGCTTATTATTCACCTACGGGCAGGCAAGTGCAAAGAATCACCTAGTCCAAAAGGAGGAGGACGATGCCGGAGTCCAGTCCCTGTGCAACTACCCGTGAGATACCTACTGTGGCTTGCGCAAGGTTTGGTGCCATAGATATCATATTGTGTTGGTGTTGAGCTTGTGGAATGCGCATGCACATGTTGAGGACGAGGCAGAAGGTGTAGGTGCAGCTGATTTGCCGTGTAGGCAACACGTCGTCTGCTGGTATCGTGCCGGTCCTTGTCCCCGGCAAGCGAGTGCTGGATGAACGTGCAGCCGTTGGATGCCACTGCGGGCTGTCCAACCGAGTGTAGGAGGTGCAGGTGCCAATGGAAAGAGGGAGCACCAAGAGTGGTGGTTCTTCTACATTGCTGGATGGGAAAGAGCACTGGTAAGGCAGAGCACATAAACGATGGGAAGAGCATTGGTAAGGCTTGGTAACAGAGTCCCAAGTACAAGCCGGGGGGAACGAGTGGCCAATGCAATACCTGCGTGCTCACTCTTTTCTCCCGTGAATAAAGGTGAAGTAGCGCTTCATGGGCATCACAATGCGTGCGATTCTAGATGCATCATGCTTACCCCATCCGCAAGAAAGCCCTCCATCCTCGTTCACACAAGGCCTGCCTGGCAAACAACCCAATTCCATGCTGCAGGACCTGAAACACGGAGGGATGGTGGCACGACACAAGGGAGAGCAAACAAACAACTGTGAAAACATGGGGACAAGTTAAGGAGGCAATGTACCCTGTTGAAGCAGATCAGAACGATGAGACCATGAGCAATCCATGCTTGGTTAGATGAACTCTCTGGCTCGAGTCTCGTTGAGCCTGAGCAATGACACGTTCAACTCATGCTTGCTGTTCTCCTACGATGGAGCATTGCGTAACTTACTGTGCGATTTGGTTCAAATTGATTTTTCCGTAAGATTGTCATCGCAAGGGGGGGGACTCATTATGATGAGTTACAGTGTGATCCGATGTGGTGAACTGGTGAGTTTTTATAAACTAACCAGCAAGACAGAGAGCATCTGCTGCATGCTTACCACCGCATGATCAATGCAACCCGGCTCACTAACACAACGGTTGTCTGGACGCATCTGAAAGTCAGTGCCACAAGACACATGACGTACTATCAGTCCAAAGACACTATTTGCAATTAAAGGAATTCACAGTTGGGAAGAGATGATATTATGTGGGGAGTGGATTCAGAAGGGGATGAGGAGGCTAAGGAGAGGCTGTAAGTGGCTTTCCATTCAGTATGCCAGTTTTGCCTGTATTGTGAGTTTTGCAGCAGAACGCATGGTGCGTGGAACCGATTAGTTTAACTAGGCAAGCATGACTGAGTGAGCTACTGACGTAATCGGATAAACAACATAGCACTGGATGCATCGAAGGCAGCACACCTTGCTAGTGCCTTGACCGGAGGCAAAATAACCCTAATTGCATGCACACCTGTCGCTCGTTGGAATGCGCTTGAGTTGCGTGGGCAGATGTCGTTCATGCAGACTAATGCCCCCTGCAAAGGTGAGGCAGCAGACTGGCGTCGAGGCAATCAAATCTGTATTGCCAGCATTGGTGAAGGGAAGTAGGGTTAAGATCGCTCACAACAATGTCAATTGCTCGCACCAAAACGAAAATCCTGAGCACCATTAAGTGTAAAACCATGCCACTACGACTACATGATTCCAAGCACTGTCACATGACCCAGTGGGAATTTTGCAGGCAGCTATGCAGCAATCAGACCACAGAGAGGTGGGGAAGGGTACCAGGCATGCAGATGTGTGGCATAGCAAGCCCTCTAGACAATTCTGCAAACGCTGTATGTATTTCATTACTTGGCTATGCTGCCTGCCCGCTCCACTGACTCACTCACCCTCACGGGTGACTTCAGTCCTGCATCACCTGCAAACTCACCTCACTGCATTGCATTAACACTCCAGAGAATGGGCTCTAGCGACCACAGAACAACGCGTTGCCTCCCACACAAGACCTGCTCACAAAAGCCCACACAAACACTAATCACCTGGGTGTGTTTAATACACAACACTGGCTTTCCCATCCGCACCGCCAAGCGGTGCCGACGAACAGCTTGAGCTGCTAACCCAGGGAACTCACCGCAAGCCCTGCTACTGCTGCTGCTGCTGCTGCTGCTGCTGCCGGTGTTCACCAAGTCCCGAGGCTACACCTCACCTACACGTCCTTTCTCGACCCTGCAGACAATCTGGAAACGGCAGAGAAACTGGCCGGTGTTCAATCTAGGCGCGAATTCCTGTATGGAATTCCCCAGCAAGACCTGCAGCATGGCCACAAGAACCCTAGCATCCAAAAACTGTGGGGTTGAGATCGGTATGTTTTTCTAAGTTTACTTTGGGTGTACCTAGGTGCGCGGTTGGTCAGAAGTAGGTGACTGGTGTTATGAATTAATCAGAGTAATAACATGTAGTGTAAAAAAGGAGTCGTGATTCAAGAGTGTTGATACAAAAGAGGGCCTAGGCATTTATAGGCACAAATAGAGCTAGCCAAGAAGCACACGAACAGGTTGGGGCAGTCCGGTTGGCGAAAGCTACGGAAGCGCTGCGCGTCTAGGTTTGGGTTCGCTAAGTGGTTCGAGACCGAAGAAGTTGGCCGAGCCTGGAGTTTCGAGAGTCGAGGGGGTACGCGCTATAGTCGAGCCCAGTAAGGAAAAGGGAATTTCCTTACACCACCCCCCCTTCCGGGATGAGACTACCCACATCCGGGACACGTTGTCGGTGTAAATAGTCCCGTACAACTCTGTTTTTACCGAGCATGGCTGCGGGAACCCAGAGGTCGTCGTCACTTGTGCGATCGACCCATCATACAAGGAAATCGATGGCTGCTTTGTCTCGATGTCTCGTACGCGATGAGCGAGAACCTTGGACGGAGTTGTCGTCGGCTCGGGTACTCGACAAACTGCTGAGACATTGGTGTTGGATTTTCTATCGGTGGCGATAGAGGGGTTGTCAGATCTATCTCGTAATTAAGGAAGAACGGGGACTGAATAGTCGTGGCCGATGGGCCATTGTTGTACACAAACTCGATCAAGGGAAGGGCGTCTTCCCATTCGGACGGGTCTGTGCATGTCGTGCGAATCAGCTGCTCCATCGTCTGGTTGGTGTGCTCAATCTGACCGTCCGATTGTGGGTGGTGAGCCGTGGACATACTGTATGCAGATGTGTGCTGTACTGCTGCCAGGTTTTTGTCCAGAAGTTGGACATGAACTGTGGGTCACGATCACTTATGATTGCCGATGGGATGCCACGTAGCCGCACGATGTTCGTGAGGAACAGTTTTGTTGTCTGCTCGACAGTAATTGTTGTCTTGCAGGCGGCGAAATGGGCCATTTTGGTCAACCGGTCAACAGTGAAGAGGATCGCGTTGTTACCGCTTTGACCAGCTGGCAGGCCAGTGACGAAGTCCATCGTCACTTGTTGCCAGGGTCGGCTGGGTGGCTCGAGCGGCTACAACAGTCCAGCAGATCGAAGTCGGGAAGACTTCATGCGTTGATACGTGGCGCAGGAGGTGACGTACTGATGCACGTCTGTTGGCAGATCGGGCCAGTAATAATTACGGCTCAATCATTTTGCGGTTTTGCCGATGCCGTAGTGACTCGAGAAATCCGACTCATGTGCCTCCTGGATTAGCAATCCCCGTAGTGTACATTAGGCGGGAACCCAAATCCGATTGGTATCGGATTTTAGATAATAGGCCCCTTGCTTGACCGTCAGTTGGGGATGACTGTTAGTAGTGAAGAATGGGTCAGTACTGTATCCGTGGTTGAATAGGCCAGTCAGTAGCGGATTAGCTTGGGTAATTAGGACTGTGGCGGTGTGGACCGAGGGGCGGATCAGTGCGTCGGCGATGTTGCTAACCCCTCGTTTGTAGGTGACTCTGTAGTGGAAATCGGACTCGAGGTAGTCGAGCCAGCGAATCTGCCGGAGATTCAGTGTCGGTTGGGCGCGGATGAATTATAGCGACTTGTGGTCTGTTCGGACTGTTACGTCAGCGCCCGTCAGGTAGCAGCGCCAGACTTTGAAAGCGTGAACGATGGCGAGTAATTCCTTGTCGTCGACATGATAATTTCGTTGGGCCGGGTTCAGCTTCCGTGACTCGTAGGCGATGGGTTGGAGGCCTTTGCCGAAGTCTTGTAACAGGAATGCGCCAATGGCTAGATCGCTAGCGTCGGTGATGAGCTCAAACGGACGGTGAGGATCTGCAATCCGAAGAACCGGAGGGGTTGTCAAGAAAATTTTGAGCTTTTCGAACGCAACCTGCTGCTCTCCCCCCCACTCGAAAACGTGCCCTTCTTCAGGAGATCCGTGAGAGGGGAAGTTACCCCCACCATGTTCGGAATGAAATGTCGGACATAATTAACAAACCCAAGAAAACTATGAAGTTCTCGTAGATTATCCGGCTGCTTCCAGTCTTGGATGGTCGCAATTTTCTTTGGATCGATTTAACACCGTCGATGGAAATCACGTGACCCAAAAACTCTTGTCTGTGTTTGAGAAACTCGCATTTAGAGCCCTTGGTGATGAGGCAGTTCTACTGCAGGAGAGAGAAAAAGGCTTCTAAATCCTTCAAATGCTTCTCCCCGGTTGTGCTATAGACGAGGATGTCGTCGAGGTACACGATGATGCACTTATCCAGCAGTGGCCGAAAAATCTCGTTCATGATCAACTTGAATGTCGAAGGCGCGTTTGTTAAGCCGAATGGCATGACCATGTACTCATAAATCCCGTACCGGGTCCAAAACACCGTCTTGTTGCAGTCAGCGTCGTGCACGTGAAGTTGGTGGTAACCGCCTCGTAGGTCAATCTTCGAGAAAAATCTGGCCCCGCGAAGTTGGTCGATGAGATCGTTGGCCTGTAACCCGATTCAAGGCGCGGTAGTCGATACACATACGTAGACCGCCATCTTTCTTCGGGGTGAATAGGATCAGAGCACCAAATAGTGATGTGCTTGGGTGGACGAAACCTTTCTCGAGCAGGTAGTCAAGCTTGCGTCGAAGTTCATCTAACTCGGGCTGAGTCAACTGCCATTGGGTCTGAACAGTAGGCTGCGCACCGGGCTCGAGCTCAATTTTGTGGTCATGCGGCCGCTGAGGTGGCAAGCCCGTCGGTAGGTCATCTTGAAAAATATCGGCATGCTTCCGAATCGCTGTTCCCAAATCATCCCGGACAGCTGCGCAGAGTTTGTCGATATCGGTCGGCACGTCGACAGTCGCTGATGCGATCCATCGGACGGCATACAGTTGTGCTCCTCGAATCATCGTTCGCTTGATAGTCACTGTGCTGACCGTCGATGCTGTCGAGTCTTGACTGCTCCATTTGGGTAGCCGTCGCCACTCGCCACTCTACTTGATGCGACAATCGCTTGTTCGCCAGTCGATGCTCGGGTTGTATTCTCGTAGCCAATCATGTCCCAGAGCATGTCACACCCGTCCAAAGTTGTCGCCATCATCTTTGTCGTGAAACTGAGATTTTCGCCACAGGTGACTCGCACGTAAGGCACGCGCTCCCGAATCGCCAGTGGGGTGTCATTAACCAACCTTGCGTCGATTTCGGGCATGCAGCGTTCCAGCTGCAATCGGAGTTTCTTCGTCTTTGTCACATCCATTAAACTGTGGCTTGCCCCACCATCAACAAATATTTTGATGCGGGTGTCACTAACTCTTCCTTCAACCAGCACAGGGCAATCAACCGGTTCACCCCCCTTATTCAGCCAGGAATGGTCGATAGCCCAAATCGGCACTATAACCTGGTGGCCCATCTGCTACTAACGATCTCTATTTCCCGACTGCTTCCCGTCGTTCGCTAAGTTCTTCTTCAGCTGCGGGTAGTCCTTCACCATATGGCCCAGCTGGTTGCTGTGGAAACAGCATCCAGAAAATACCCGGGTTGCAAACACGTCCACGTCGTTGATTTGATGTGTGTTGGGGCTGGCCTCGAAAGCAATTTCCCTCCCAGAAACCCGCCCTCGCGATTCCACGCCTTGCGTCCAGCGCATCTGCGATACGGACAATTTCGTTGAATGTTGTCGGGGCTCGCATGACGATCTCTTGCTGAATCTCTAGCTTGAGACCATCCACGTAGCGATTGATCTTCTCGTCTTTGCTAAGCCTCCCGATTTGATCACATAACTCCAAGAACGAAGCCGTGTATTCTTGGACAGAGCCCAACTGTCTCCACTTCCGAAGCCTTGTGCGAGCATTTTCGCTCATGGATATGTGGTCGAATCGGCTCTTCAATCCTTCACCCCACGCTTTCTACGTGCGGATCGTGGTCGACCCAAAGATCGGTTCTACTTGAGCCGTTGATGAACCGTGCTCTCCATATACCGCCCATCGATTCCCTGCCGGGGCTCCTCCCTCGTCCCAATGTATGTGCCACCAGTCGAGTGCTGGTCCCCTCAGCAGCGATACAGCCAAGTTGACACGTGACGCGTTGTCATTAATACTTGCTGCTGTGAACAAGATTTCCATGGCGAACAGCCAGCCGCTCACTGTAGTCGTTCTGTCTGTCGGGTTGAACTGCGGTGGCAGCGGAGGTTTGATTTTAATGGCCGACCGCAGTTCGCTGTGGACTTCTTTAACTGCTTCAGGTGTCGCCGACGCCCTCGCTTCACTCACAGCATCTTCGTCTCGGGTAATAGGCCGCCCCTGGCGCGTTTCACCCCGCATCTGGCGAAGCGACGAGTTTTTGTTGCGCAGCGTCTGCACTTCGCTTCCCATTGACTCGAACTTATCGGCGAGTTGTCGTAACTGTTGTCACCCTGGCTTGCAGCTCGTCAAACTTCTCCGGAGTCACCTTCATAACACTACGACGGGCAGAGGTTTCGGGCGTGATAGGCATGCTGGAAATTTTACTCGACTGATTTGAGGGTGCACACGCTTCTAGTTGGATGAGATTTAACGAGCTCACCTACCAACCGCAGGCCAACCCCTTATAATGTCGGGTCCTCTCCCGATATAAATTGACTACTCTACGGAATACTAAGCGGGCAGGAACGGAGCTCTGATACCACTTGTTATGAATTAATCAGAGTAATAGCATGTAGTGTAATAAATGAGTCGTGATTCAAGAGTGTTGATAGAAATGAGGGCCTAGGTATTTATATTTACGAACAGAGCTAGCCGAGAACCACACGAACATGTTGGGGCGGTCCGGTTGGCGAAAGCTACGGAAGCACCGCGCGTCTACGCTTGGGTTCGCGAAGTGGTTCGGGACCGAAGAAGTTGCCCGAATCTGGAATTCCAAGAGTCGAGGGCGTACGTGTTGTAGTCGAGCCCAGTAAGAAAAAGGGGATTTCCTCACATCCCATATGCTCATCACAATGCCATGAGTGACCTCTGTGCGTTGTTGTATTCTGGCACCCGAAAAAGTTGTGCTCCTCTGTCAGGCTCAAGGTGTACTTCGTTACTCGTTTCTTCCTAATGAATGTTTTTCTCTAACGCGGACTGAGCCTGTAAGCAGGAAACGGTCAAACCGGGGCAAACGGGACATTGAAGGGAAGAACCCACATTACCAACTGTCACATGGATATATATTTTCGCGCATGCACCAAAGAAGTTGCCCGCGTGACCTTCCAGAATTCGACTTGACTGTTCGATATTGTTCAGACTGCAGCCAATCAGGTTCAGTGTCAACGCGAGTCATGCCCCGAACCTGAAAGGTGGGTTTAAAGCCCAGGTCCCATACTACAAGCCGCGAAAAGGGAGCGCGGCTTGGGTTGGGGAGGAAGGCGTGCGATTGGCTGCAAGGGTGGCGAGAGCCCAAAGTCACAAAATCGGGAAGCGAAACTCGCAAATGGAAATTTGCTGTTCGCAAACCAGAACTCGCGCGAGGTTGGGAAAGGATAACAGGGACGTGCAAAGCTCAATTGACAGAACAGCAGAGCACAAACTTGGGAAACGCGTCACACCATCGACCACACCCACTGCGGCAACTGCGCTGAACAAAGCAGAGTACAACCAACGAGCTTAGGTCTTCCGACGCACATACTTCGCGTGCAATATTGAGATATTGAGACTTATGATAGCCTAGATACTTAACTCGAACGCAGCTTACTAGAGACTAGATGAAAAGGTCGTGCGGATACTAAGAAAAGAAAAGAAAAGAAAAAAACCCAGCGTAGGTCTAATACAGGAGGATCGCGAATTGGTGTCATAAAACTCTATCTGGGGTATTTAGCGTCAACGAGGCGCGAACCGATCCAACCAACTGAAATCACGGAATGATAGACGGCTGGCAGCGCCACTCTAGCTAGGGCGTTTAACCCGAGCGCATGATAGCGCACGGCAGCGACTGCGCAAGGGCACAGCAACGGGGGAAGATGCAGAGGGCGGCCTGAAGATTGGGACGATTTGCAGGTCCGACCAGGCCATCACGTGCAGGCTTGCGGTATGCCAACTGCCAGGCTGCGGGAATGTGACTGCCCAGCACCTGTTTCCCGACGTAGAAAGAACACACAGAGAGGAAGGTGCAGAGAGAGAGGGAGAATCAGAGGGAGGGAGGGAGGGAGAAGCAGTGAGCGAGGGATACGGGGAGATGCTGAGAGAGAGAGAGAGGGAGGGGGGATGCAACGAGAGAGAGAGGGAGATGTGTAGAGAGAGCACTGGGAGATCAGAGAGAGAGGGGGAGATGCAGAGAGAGAGGGGGAGATGCAGAGAGAGATGGATGCAGAGAGAAGAGGAGATGCAGAGAGAGAGAGGGGGGGGAAACGCCAGAGAGAGAATTGGGGATGCCGAGAAAGAGAGGGGGAGATGCAGAGAGAGATAGGACGATGCAGAGAGAGGGGAGGAGCTTTACATGTCTACATAGTTGTTGTGGGGGTTGATGTCTTCACACGGAAATAGGTAGGTTGGTATTGGGCTGGTATTGTGGAACACATTGCATGTGCAACTAGCATTGTATACTACCGTGTACGACTATGCGCTTAACATACATATCAAGTTCAGCAAATATGGGTGACCAAGCTTGCAAAAATCAACAGAAGTGCATTACAGCGAAGAAACCCAGCCAACTTATGCCGAAGCTCCCCTGGCAGCTCCAGGCCAGCTAGTGGATGAAGCAGCGGCCGTCACTGCAAGGGCAGAAGTGGGGAGGGCAGAGATGCGCGGGCAGGGACTAATGGGCATAGCAGCTTTAGGGCAAAGATATATGGTGAGGGTTGCAAGGGACATACCGTACATGCCAGGACAGAGATTGGGCTGTGATTGTGCCACTCTCCTCCCCACACTCACCTGCCCTGACTCACCTGCCCACAATCCCGTGCCTGGGCTCTCCCCTTCCCCTGCTCTCACCCTCGATGCTTCCCCTGCTCTCACTCTTCTCCCTTCCCCTGCTCTCACTCTTCTCCCTTCCCCTGCTCTCACTCTTCTCCCTTCCCCTGCTCTCACTCTTCTCCCTTCCCCTGCTCTCACACTTCTCCCTTCCCCTGCTCTCGCTCCTCTCCCCTCCCCACTCTCACTCCTCACCCCTTCCCCTGCTCTCACTCCTCTCCCTCTCCCCTGCTCTCTCTCCTCTCCCCTCTCCCCTGCTCTCACTCCTCTCCCTCTCCCCTGCTCTCTCTCCTCTCCCCTCTCCCCACTCTCCCTCCTCTCCCCTTCCCCTGCTCTCACTCCTCACCCTCTCCCCTACTCTCTCTCCTCTCCCCTCTCCCCATCTCACTCCTCTCCATTTCCCCTGCTCTCACTCTTCTCCCTTCCCCTGCTCTCACTCCTCTCCATTTCCCCTGCTCTCACTCTTCTCCCTTCCCCTGCTCTCACTCCTCTCCCCCTCCCCTGTTCTCACTCCTCTCCATTTCCCCTGCTCTCACCCTTCTCCCTTCCCCCGCTCTCATGCCTTCCCCCGCGCCTGCTCTCACTCTTCTCCCTCACTCCTGCCCTTACTCTCACTCCTTTCCCCTTTCCCCTCACCCTGCCCCTGCTCTCCCTCCCGCGCGCTCACGCTGCTGTCCCTGCCGCGCGCTCACGCCGCTCTCTCTCCAACTCGCTCATGCCGCTCTCTCTCCCGCGCGCTCACGCCGCTCTCTCTCCCACTCGCTCATGCCGCTCACTCTCCTGCTCGCTCATGCCGCTCTCTCTCCCGCGCGCTCACGCCGCTCTCTCTCCCGCGCGGTCACGCCGCTCTCTCTCCCGCTCGCTCATGCCGCTCTCCCTCCCGCGCGCTCACGCCGCTCTCTCTCCCACGCGCTCACGCCGCTCTCCCTCCCGCGCGCTCACGCCGCTCTCTCTCCCGCTCGCTCATGCCGCTCTCTCTCCCGCGTGCTCACGCCGCTCTCTCTCCCGCGCGCTCACGCCGCTCTCTCTCCCGCTCGCTCATGCCGCTCTCCCTCCCGCGCGCTCACGCCGCTCTCCCTCCCGCGCGCTCACGCCGCTCTCTCTCCCGCGCGCTCACGCCGCTCTCCCTCCCGCGGACTCACGCCGCTCTCCCTCCCGCGCGCTCACGCCGCTCTCCCTCCCGCGCGCTCACGCCGCTCTCCCTCCCGCGCGCTCGCGCCGCTCTCCCTCCCGCGCGCTCACGCCGCTCTCCCTCCCGCGCGCTCACGCCGCTCTCCCTCCCGCGCGCTCACGCCACTCTCTCTCCCACGCGCTCATGCCGCTCTCCATCCCCTGCCCTCGATGCTCGCGCCACTCCCTCCCTGCTATCGATTCAACTCCCTCCCTGCTTTCGCCTCTCCCCCTCCGTGCTATCGCGTCTCAAGCTCGCTTCTATCGCGTCACGAGGTAGTTTCTACCGCGTCACGAGGTCGCTTCGCGTCACGAGGTCGCTTCTATCGCGTCCCTCCCTCGGCGACTAGCTTCAGTCCCTTGCTGCAGTCGTGTCTATCCCTCGCTGTTTGTGCGTCGCTCTCTCCCTGCTATCACGTCTCACCATCGATGCTACCGCGTCACTTCCTCCCTCGAGAATCTAAACGGGGGAAGCACTGCTAAGCCCGTCGTCGCTTTATGACACGCAGTTTCGGCTAGGCTAGGCTACTAAATAATCAGAAGTCTGTCTCGCCTTGGTCCCAATTTACAAAAATTGCTAGCACCTTTCCCTTAGACATTTGAGCTGTGAGAGAGCCGGGGTGTTGGTTTGCTTGGGCGAAAGTGTTAGCTTGCCTTCGACCAATCACGAGCCCCCATTTACAGCCACCGCGTCATTTGTCAGTTTCATCCGGGTGCATGGGGTTACCCTTTTTTTTGCGCTCCGAAACTGCTAGCAAAAACACTCGCGCCTTGCAACTTGGGATCTGGGCTTTAACATTTGGACTGTTTTGGGAAAGACAATGGCGAGGAATGGTGTACAACACAAGGATCCGACGTGCAGGGGTGTGTCGCATCGCAGGGGCATCCAGGGGATGTGGCAGCTTCTGTTCTGCTCAGCTTTGGCTGTCATGATGAAATGACGCTGTTGCGAAGCACAGCTCAACGAGAGGGCAGATAGATTCCTCAATGCAGGGATGCAGGATGGGTACAGTACTGCGCTCAGTAGCAACAAGCCGTCTCCCCAAAACGGAAGAAGCCTGGGTCTTCCCAGGTCACTCGCAGGTCAATGGAATCCCCTTCCCTTTCGCATCTCCAACGAGAACACTGCTACAGTGTAGTTGCAGGGCCTGGGTGGACAAGCCCCGCACGCTGTGCGGCTTCGGCAATGGCTAGGAGTCGAGGACAGAACGAGGCCTGGCGGGACAGGTTCCGCGGAGACCGACGGGAACGCGCAGAGACCCCCCCCTGCATCGTCGCCGCGGCAATGCGAGAGACGGGGGGTTGCGTGCGAGATGAGACGACCCATCTTTAGCCGTTGTCATACGTCCGTACGGGAATCGACGGGCGAGACTCGTGCTGTCATCCGCTGCCATCCGCTGCTGTCCGCCTAAACCCGAAATCTGGATGAGTCATCCCCTGTCATAACACTTCGGACACGCTCTTACATCATCTCATCCGCGTTTTGACAATTCCATTGTGCACCCGATGCTCTTTGCTCCTGATTTAGCGGCGCTCTCTTCTTCCCCCTTTCCCTCCTCCTGTGCCTATCTTCGTGAGTAGCGCTCGGAATCATCCATATCAACTAGGGTTGCGTCTTGGCCGTGCGCGGCATTGCCGATCGTGCCGAGCGGTCGCATTGCGGCGACGATGACAGCTGCGGTCGCAAGCAGTCGCCTTCGCGGCGGCGCCGGTCCCTGCGGTCGTCGCGATGATGACGTGGCGGTGCTCGCCGCGATGCTGCTCGTGCTCACATGCGGCGCCAGTACTGCCGCCGCCGTCAAGCTTCCGCCCAAGACGCCGCCGGGTGAGCACAGCGGAGAAAGGTTCCGCTTGAACTCTGCCCGGAAAAGTAGCACTGGCACTGAGCAGATTCGATCCCATGACACTGTACCTACACTCGTATAGCGTATCTACTTCGTATTGCTGGTTCCGTAACTAAAAACCCCTCTATGTCGCCCCACGTTCTTCTCTGTTCGCTCCCTGCCCATCTCCTCTCCGTCTTCGCCTCACCCTTTTTCACCCTTTTTCACCCCTTCTCAACATTCTCCGCTGCTCACATTCCCGCCTTCCCTTCCCGCCACTCAAAGGCCCGTGCGCTCTCAGCCCGTGCGGCGCGGCCAGTAAGTGTGTGGAGGTAACCAACAGCAGCAGCACGAGCAGCAACAGCAGCAAGAGCAACAGCAGCAGCACGTACACGTGTGTGTGCGCCAGCGGAACCACGCCCGCCAACAACACCAAGGGCCTGCCGTACTGCCGAGGTGAGGCGAGGTGAGGCGAGGTGAGGCGAGGTGAGGCGCCCCCGTGTCGGTTGCGAGCCCCGGCCGCTCGTAAGTGTGCTAATGGGCATGGATTTGCGAACCCCGGCGGACGTTCTAAGTGTGATGTTGTTGGAGCTTCTAGTGCTGTTGACCAAGACAATGCGTCACTTGTGGCCGACAGTGTGTGTACACGCCGCATGAACATGCATGTGTCTGATTGTGCGTGCATGATTGCTTGCGTGCGCGCATCATGCATGCGTGCGTGCGTGAGTGCGCGCATCATGCGTGCGTGCGTGCGCGCATCATGCGTGCGTGCGTGCGCGCATCGTGCGTGCGTGCGTGCGCGCATCATGCGTGCGTGCGCGCATCATGCGTGCGTGCGCGCAGTGCATGCGTGCGTGCGCGCATCGTGCGTGCGTGTGTGCGAGCATTATGCATGCGTGTGTGCGCGCATCATGCATGCGTGCGCGCATCATGCATGCGTGCGTGCGTGCGCGCATCATGCGTGCGTGCGTGCGCGCATCATGCGTGCGTGCGTGCGCGCATCGTGCGTGCGTGCGCGCATCATGCGTGCGTGCGCGCATCATGCATGCGTGTGCGCGCGCATCATGCATGCGTGTGTGCGCGCATCATGCAAGCGTGTGTGCGCGCATCATGCATGCGCGTGCGCGCATCGTGCGTGCGTGTGTGCGCGCATCATGCAAGCGTGTGTGCGAGCATTATGCATGCGTGTGTGCGCGCATCATGCATGCGTGCGCGCATCATGCATGCGTAATGCTCGCACACACGCTTGCATGATGCGCGCACACACGCACGCACGATGCGCGCACGCACGCACGCATGATGCGCGCATCATGCATGCGTGCGCGCATCATGCATGCGTGCGTGCGTGCGCGCATCATGCGTGCGTGCGTGCGCGCATCGTGCGTGCGTGTGTGCGCGCATCATGCAAGCGTGTGTGCGAGCATTATGCATGCGTGTGTGCGCGCATCATGCATGCGTGCGCGCATCATGCATGCGTGCGTGCGTGCGCGCATCATGCGTGCGTGCGTGCGCGCATCGTGCGTGCGTGCGCGCATCATGCGTGCGTGCGCGCATCATGCATGCGTGTGCGCGCGCATCATGCATGCGTGTGTGCGCGCATCATGCAAGCGTGTGTGCGCGCATCATGCATGCGTGTTTGCGCGCATCATGCATGCGTGCGCGCATCATGCATGCGTGCGTGCGTGCGCGCATCATGCGTGCGTGCGTGCGCGCATCGTGCGTGCGTGTGTGCGCGCATCATGCAAGCGTGTGTGCGAGCATTATGCATGCGTGTGTGCGCGCATCATGCATGCGTGCGCGCATCATGCATGCGTGCGTGCGTGCGCGCATCATGCGTGCGTGCGTGCGCGCATCGTGCGTGCGTGCGTGCGCGCATCATGCGTGCGTGCGCGCATCATGCATGCGTGTGCGCGCGCATCATGCATGCGTGTGTGCGCGCATCATGCAAGCGTGTGTGCGCGCATCATGCATGCGTGTTTGCGCGCATCATGCATGCGTGCGTGCGTGCGCGCATCATGCGTGCGTGCGTGCGCGCATCGTGCGTGCGTGCGTGCGCGCATCATGCGTGCGTGCGCGCATCGTGCGTGCGTGCGTGCGCGCATCATGCGTGCGTGCGCTCATCATGCATGGGTGTGCGCATCATGATGCATGAAGACAACCCCCCTCCCCGCCTTCCCCCCCCCCCCTCCTCCCCTCTCCCCCCCCCCTCTCTTTCCTATCTCCGCTCCCCCGCATCCCCGCCCTCGTACACCCCCCGTGAAGACCCATGCACGGACGGCTCGCCGGGAGGCCCCTGTGGGGTTGGCGCCAAGTGCGCAGTGAACGGCACGCGCAACACGTGCAACTGCTCTGCCGGCAATGTTGTCTATGATGGGTTCAGCAACGGCTCCCAGACTTGCATTCCCGGTGAGGCGCGCAGCGCAGTTGCTTGGTGCGGTGATTCCATGGAAGCAGTCAATTCGGTTCATTTCGAATTCCCATAATGCCCTCGATGGGTTCACGGAACAATCTAAAAACCTAGCAACACCAGCCTACGGTCCAGAACTGCTGGGAGAATCGGCCCATCTCGCCCATCTCGCCCATCTCGCCCATCTCGCCCATCTCGCCCATCTCGCCCATCTCGCCCATCTCGCCCATCTCGCCCATCTCGCCCATCTCGCCCATCTCGCCCATCTCGCCCATCTCGCCCAGTGCAAGAACCCGGTGGAAGCAGGCGTTGGATCAGCCGTTTCCAGAATGGTCGTCTTTTTCTTGAGTTAGAACGTCGCCAATGGGTGGCTGGTACCCACTCTCTCCCATCGTCCCCACATTGCAGGGTGTTTTTAGAAAATAATAAAACACTGTGAGAACCCAAAAGCTCCTTGTGGTACTAGTTAGTTAGGGGCTCAGGAAAGGTGCCTCAGCGTCCTTTCTTCCTCGTCCCCCCCGCCCTCTCTCCTCCAGATCCCTGCAAGGCCGCCCCTCCCCCATGCGGGCCGAATGGCCAGTGCACGGTGCTGGCGAGGGGCAACACGTGCACCTGCAAATCCCCTCAGGTTCTTTTCGAGGACGAAAAAGGGTTCCAGTCATGCATTGCTGGTAATATAATATGCCTCCTGCTTCTTCCTATCGTACCAAGTCTGTGCCGCTGCTCGCTGTGGTGCCTGCCGGTCCCCCAGGCCACTCACCCTTGCCGCATGTGCGTGCTGCTCGTCTATCCTCGCCGTGCCACGCTCTGTTTGTCTTGTTGTGGGAGGGAGAGGCACATGGTGCCGCTGTTCCAAGCGTGCGGGCAGCGGGCTGGAGGGAGAGGTGCATGCTCAGCAGCTCCACTGCCGCCTTAGGCATTTCGCTTGCGTGCTGTGACTTCCCTTAGTGCCACCTTAGGCGTTTTCACACTTGGTCCGTTCTGCTCTAAACCGCAGCCGTCCGTTACCACTGTGCATGAAGGGCTTGTCCGTATGGTGGGTCACCCCACCCATAACTCCCAAACGCACCTGTAGCCCCTTCCCCACGGTTCACCTCCGATGACCCCACTGCTCCTTCTCCAACTCCACCTCCGTGTCTCTGTCTCTCTCTTGTTCCATCACCCTCTCACCATCAATCCCCTCCGCCCTTTTTCCAGATCCCTGCAAAGCCGGCGGTCCCTTTGGCCCCTGTGGGATGAACGGCACGTGCACTGTGGTGGGCCGGGGCAACACGTGCACCTGCAACTCCACTCAGCTCGTTTACGAGAAAGTGAAAGGCTTTCAGACATGCGTGACTGGTATTTAACATCCCCCCCTCCTGCCCCTGCCTTATCCTTACGCGGTTCCTGCCGGAAAAGATTTTTTAATGGGTTGATTACAGAGAAGGCAAACGGCGTTAAGTAAAAAAAGGATTTACTAATCAAGGGGAATGGGAATGCATGTATATCTCCGTTGTGACACTTCTGACATGTTAGTTAATGAGGGAATCCCAACCGGACGAAGTTCGGCAAGTGTCACTCTGTCACAACCTGCGCTTCTCTCTCCAGGTTTACGCCCCCCCGTCTCCTTCACTGCTATCCCACCCACCCCCCCCCCACATCTCCCCTTCCTGTCCCCTTCTGTATTCTCCCCGCCCTCCCCACCTCCCCCTCTCCCCCCCGCAGACCCCTGTCTCTCCGCCCCCTGCGGCCCCAACGCTAAGAGCTGTTCGCCTGTGGTGCCGGCTTCTTGGAAGTGCACATGTGCTGCCGGCGCAACGCTGGTGGGCGCCCAGGAGAACCTGCAGTACTGCAAGCTGATTGGTGAGAAAGGAGGGGGGGGGGGAAGGGGGGGGGGGGGGAAAGGGGGGAGAGGCAGGGGGACGGGGGTGGAGAGGGGAACGGGGAGGGGGATGGGGGTTGGGGTTGGGCTGGAGGGGGGTGGGGGGGTGGGGAAGCATTGGTAGACATGACAAGACGCTAGGACGGAAGTCGATTGGAGTGAAGTGTGCACTGTGCAGGCAACATGTAGATGAGAGTGGGGCGAGGCGTAGAAAGGGGGTTTGATAAGGGGGACAAATGTGAGGCTACCAGAGAGCGGGTGGCTGATGGGCGAAGGGGAAGCGAGCGCGGACTCTGAGAGGAGAAGAGCAGGTAATGCTAATGTGGCCGCACGTTGCTCCACCAGTCATATAGCATTCGTCCTTTCCTGTCTTCCTCTCCTGTACTGGCCTCCATACCAAGCCCTTACATCCACCCTCCCACCCACCCAGCCTCCTGACTCTACCAGTTCTCCTAATACCCCTTCTTCTTTAAGACTTAATCCAACTCAGCCATTCTCCTTTTCCCTTGCACTTGTACTTTCTCCCTCTCCCCCCTTCCTGCTCTCTCCCCCCTCCCCCCTCTCCCCCCCTCCCCGCGCTCCCCTCTGCTCCCCAGGCACCTGCAATGACGGCACGCGCTATGGTCCCTGTGGCACTCTCACGCGGCCGGAGGGAGTGTGCACGGAGACAAGCGATGGCAACTCGTGTGCCTGTGCTGCGGTGGACATTCCCTTCGACGTCCTCAAGAACGGCTCGCAGACATGCGTCAGCAGTATGCCATGCCTTCCCTTCCCTCCCCTCCCATCCCCTCCCCTCCCCTCCCCTCCCCTCCCCTCCCCTTCCCTTGCCATGCCATGCGCACCCAGCTCGCCCGCCCCATGCTGTCTCACCCCGCGTTCTGCAATGGAACGCTCTGGGCATGCCATGGCATGCCATTCTGCACAATGCTCTCATTCACCATCTCTGCCCGACCTCTCCCGCACATATTGCCTGCTGCCTCTCTCCACCAATCAATCACGCCCCATTCTGACCCTCATTCCCTTCCACGTCCCACTGTCCATCCCCCCACCTCTCACGTTTACCCTGTCTCTCTTCGTCCTACCCCTTGTCTCCGCCTTCCCCCCTATCCCGCTCACCCCCCTGCGCCTGCCACAGACCCCTGCTCCACCAACCCGTGTGGCCAGGGCGGCAAGTGCACGCCTGGCTCTGATACCACGTGGGCGTGCGAGTGTGGCGCGGGCACTGTGCTGGTGGAGGAGGCGGAGGGGATGCAGCACTGCACGGATGGTGAGTGGTGCACCGATGGTGGGTGGTGCACGGATGGTGGGTGGTGCACGGATGGTGGGTGGTGCAAGGATGGTGGGTGGTGCACCGATGGTGAGTACTTGACTCATGGTGATGAGCTGCTGTTGCCATGTCACGTCAATTCGTTCTGTCATGTCACGCGATGTTGTTTTACGCGCCCCTAACATCAAGTCAAAGTTTTGTCATTCGTATGATCTGACATCATGTGGAACCATCGTCCGCAGAACGATGTGATGGGGAGCACTCAGTTCCTCTGATAGCGAGCCCTCCTCATGCCACCCATCATGCCTTGCATAGCGCGCCCTCACATCACCGCATCCTGTCATCCCCTTATTGCTCACAGATGCCTCGCTCGCACCCAATCATTTGTGCCACCACACCCACATCCCACGCCTCTGCATCCCCCCTTTCTGCATCCCCCTTTGTGCATCCCCCCTTGTGCATCCCCCCTTGTGCATCCCCCCTTGTGCATCCCCCTTTGTGCATCCCCCCTTGTGCATCCCCCCTTGTGCATCCCCCCTTGTGCATCCCCCTTTGTGCATCCCCCTTGTGCATCCCCCCTTGTGCATCCCCCCTTGTGCATCCCCCCTTGTGCATCCCCCCTTGTGCATCCCCCCTTGTGCATCCCCCTTTGTGCATCCCCCCTTGTGCATCCCCCCTTGTGCATCCCCCCTTGTGCATCCCCCCTTGTGCATCCCCCCTTGTGCATCCCCCCGTATCGCAGGGCCCTGCCCGCCCCAGGCATGTGGTGCGGGGGGCACGTGCATGCCTCTCAGCAACAGCACTCGCAGCTGCACCTGTGCTGCGGGCTTGACTCTCAGCGAGACCATCCCCGGCATGCCCACCTGCTCCTCAGGTGAGGCTGTGGCTTGCGCTCAGCTCACCATGGCACAGCAATACATGGCATGGCATTGCAAGTGCTAGCTTGGCACGGCATGGCGTACAGCTGTCCTGCATGGTGCGAGGAGAGTATTCAGAGCCCACATTATCCACCAAAGGTGCCATTTACAGTGCCTTGTCAGATGTTGCCTGCACCCTCAGCTCTTCTCTATCCCTTCTGTCAATGCGTGTCGGATGTGTGCATGTATGCATGTGCGCATGTGTCTGTGCGTGTGCGTGTGTGTGTGGGTGGGTGCATGTGTGTGTGTGTGCGTGCGTGCGCGTGCATGCGCGCGTGTGTGTGTGTGCGTGCGCGCGCTCACGTGGGTGTGTGTGTGTGTGTGCGCGTGTGTGTGTGTGTGTGCGTGTGTGTGTGCGCGCGCGTGTGTGCGCGTGCACGTGCATGTGAACCTGTGTGTGTGTCCCTCTGTGTGTGCATGCGCTTGAGCATGGCCAATCATTTCTCGCATCGGTGCATGTGTCGTGGCAGTGGTACCTGGCAACAATACGAGCACCAAGGGCGCATTCATCAATTCTGCTGTCGGTCATTGGTCCCTTCAGTCTGTCTTCCTTCACCTCTCCATCTCAATGCCTTTCCTCCTGCCCTATATCTTCCTGTAGGACTTAGGAGCTCCTGTGCACGTGCATGTGAACCTGTGTGTGTGTCTCTTTGTGATAGAGATTTCTTTATGGTAGTACCGTAATCCCCCGTATAAAACACCCTATGGTGTTAATAAAAATGCAACGAAATTTTGGGTTGGGTGTAATTAAAGGCAAAAAAAATACAGCACCCAGGAGTTATGGAATGTGCATATGCTACTTTTGATTTGAATTCAACTGTACTTGTGACAGGGCATTGTTCTGAGTCCCATTCTGCTATCTGATCGCGTACCCAACGATTTGGTCCATGTGCATGCCACATCGTCTACGTACGCTGCTGATTCAGTATGCTGCCAGAGTAGCCAATCAGCTTGTGCTGCAGGCAGCCACGTTGATGCCTCCAGCCCACGCTGTGCCAGCACAGCATGGGGTGGCGAAATCAACGGCACATTTTGTCGATGCCTTCTCACGACCGGCCAGCGCACGGAATCACACATTCTGGATGGTCGTGAGAGGCATTTCATGGGCGACATGGACGAGGGAGTCGCCCACGTCCCTGCCTTCCCCTCCAACCCACTCTTGAAGTGGGTCTACCCCGCTCCGTCCTCTCATTTTCAGTTTCGACTCCAGGATGCCTTCAAGACAGCCCCTGCAAGGGCTGTCTAAGGCATCCTCTAGCTCCGTCTCTGTAACGTCCCCCCGCCATGGCCTCAGGCTCTGGCTTGTCTCGCCTTCTGACTCGAAAGGGCCCTTATGGCCAGCAGACGTTTTTACTTCGTCGGTCCTTTGCCGACGGCGATGCCGCAGCGACAGACTCTACAAGCGTCGATGCTGCTGCGACAGATTCTGCAAGCGGCGACGCCGCTGCAACAGATTCTGCAAGCGGCGATGCCGCTGCGACAGATTCTGCAAGCGGCGACGCCGCTGCGACAGATTCTGCAAGCGGCGACGCCACTACGACGGAAGGCCGTCGTCCCCTGCCGCGCGTCAACGTGCCGAGTTTCCCGGAGCCCATTCGACGACCCCGTGGTCCTACCTTGAATCACGATGTCCATGCCCCCGCATCTCGAAGCAGGATGACAAAGCGGAAGCGCCGCTCGTACTCTGCCTCGGAGAAGTTGTACCGGCTTTCCATGTTCGATGCTCAACCCGACCTCTCTGTGCGTGGACTCGCAAAGCTTGCAGGTGTCCAGCCGGTGTCGATTCGGGAGTGGAAGAATGCTCGCGAACGCCTCCGTGTCGCCGCCGGCTGCCGCAAACGCCTCGTCGGTGCCGGACGTCCCGCGAAGTACCCGACGATGGAGAGCGCCCTCTACCGACAGTTCCTGAGGCACCGCGGGAGGGGGCTTGCCGTCTCCGTCAAGCTGCTGCAGAAGTGGAGTCGCTCGTACATGCGCGTACATCATCCCAACGTCGACTGGAGAGCGTCGAGTCGCTGGACGTTCAGATTCCGCGCGCGCTGGGGGCCTTACGCGTCGGGTAAAGACGAAGATGGGGCAAAAGCTCGCCGACGGTAAACTGCCGTCCCATCCTTGTTATTGATTCCCTTGCCGCGACTTTCAATATTTGATTCTTTTGATTGTCTTGCTTATCGCGTGTTCATGCCTGAATTTGTTCTCTGACTGTTTTGTTCTATGCAGACATGAGGACGAAGATCGAGAAATTCTGGGAGTTTGTCAAACATATGCGGATTCTCAACCGGTACAACCTCGACCACATCGTGAACGCCGACCAAACCCCCCTCTTCATCGAAATGCCCCAGGAGAGGACGTTGGAGCACAGAGGCTCCCGTACGGTGCATGTGAGGACGGCCGGCTATGAAAAGGAGCGGCTCACCGTCATGTTGGCAGTTACCGCGTCGGGATTGAAGCTCCCGCCGTATGTCATCTTCAAGCGGAAGACGCTGCCAAAGATTCAGGTTCCCCCGGGTAAGAATCGCCGATGCATACCCTCTGACTGTTGTTGTGGCTTGTGATTGTATCCAGGTGTCATCATCCGAGCCCAGCCGAAGGGCTGGATGGACGAGAAGCTTGTCCAGGACTGGACTACTCAAGTCCTGAACCCGTTCTTGCGCCCGCTGCGCGAATCGGGGAATAGGCGCAAGGAGGCGCTCGTCATCCTGGACTCGTACAAGGGCCACCTCACGCAAGCAGTCGGGCAGACGATGAAGCTGTGCAAACTTACCCGCGCGGTCATCCCAGGTGGTTGCACGCCTCTCGTTCAACCGCTGGACGTCGCAGTGAACAAGAGCTTCAAGGCCGGCGTGCGCGGCGACTACGGCGCATGGTTTGAGCAGTTCGGCATCGACATGAAGACTGCGGCAGGTGAGCCCCTTCCTAGTCGCTTCCTCAGTAGTTTTTAGACTTCTTGCTTGTTGACGAATTCCACCGTGCCCGTTCCTAGTCGTCATCTTACCGTGCCCGTGTTCTTCTCCTCCCATTATGCTCCCATCCCATGTGCAGGAAATCTGAAGAAGCCCCCGGCTGAGCTCATCTTGAAATGGATTGCTCGGTCATGGGAGGCTGTGCCAGAGGAGCTCGTGCGAAGTTCATTCAAGTCGTGCGGTATATAAAATGCGCTGGACGGCACCGAGGACAACCTCGCTCTCCGCCACCTCCGCGGCAAGCCCGACCTCGAGGTGATGGACGATGTCCACGTCGAGGAGGGCGAGAGCGGCTACATCAACCCCCTCTACGACGCCTTCATCGATGTGGACGGGGACGTCGCCGACGACGAAGAGGCGGATGCGGCGTCGCTGGCGGCTGACGACATCGACTGTGCTGAAGCGGCAACCGAAGCAGCTGAGACGAGCGCAGACAATGCAGAGACTGCATCAGCAGCAGCAGCAAGTGTTGATGTGTGGCCGGCAGAAGGCATTGCAGAGGAGGATGACGACAACTGCTGGTGGGATGAGCTTGCAGATGGGAGCGACGTCGAGATGTGGCAGGCTGGTGATGAGGAGCCTGAGGAGGACGACTAGAGCAGTGGCAGAGGCATGAGTATCTGGCGTAGTGTAAGGATTTAAAGTGTAGTGGATAATTTAGGTTCTAGGCAGAGCCAATAGGTAGAATTCAAGCCCTAGGTGGTGCCACTAACTAGTTCTATGGTTAATTCTGTTGAGTAGTAACTACGTGTACTCTAGTTGTATTGCTAACGTCTAATTCAAGAAGTTGTATACAGGAAAACGTAGAAAAAAACGTTTTTTCATCTCGGGGGGGGGTGGTGAAATGTTTTCAAGGCCAAGGGTAGGGTGGTAACTAAATCCAGTTAAATTAAACACCCATACCCGCTCAAGCTACCCGGGGGAGCTTAATTCCGGCGGGTGTTTTATACGGGGGATTACGGTAACACCATATCATTGATGTCTTCAGGTCAGAATCTGTGTTCTCAGCAACATGGAGCTGCATGTCAAACGTCTGTATTTGTTATGTTTGTATAGACTGTATAGGGTTACCGCTTAGAGGGTACAACACTTAGGTATATTTGTGTGTACTCTCATCTTTACCATCATTCAATTTTTCTGATATGGTATCACGCGTAGGTAGGATCCCCCCCCCCCCACCTACCGCTTCCGCTCATGCCCCCTAGCGCCCCTCCTGGGCCCCGTCGCGCTCCTCCCAGGCCCCGTCGCGCTCCTCCCAGGCCCCCTAGCGCCCCTCCTGGGCCCCATCGCGCTCCTCCCAGGCCCCGTAGCGCCCCTCCTGGGCTTCGTAGCGCCCCTGCCAGGCCCCGTCGCGCCCCTCCTGGGCTTCGTAGCGCCCCTGCCAGGCCCCGTCGCGCCCCTCCCAGGCCCCGTCGCGCTCCTCCCAGGCCCACTAGCGCCCCTCCTGGGCCCCGTCGCGCTCCTCCCAGGTCCCGTAGCGCCCCGTCGCGCCCCTCCTGGGCCCCGTAGCGCCCCTCCTGGGCCTCGTCGCGCCCCTCCTGGGCTTCGTAGCGCCCCTCCTGGGCCCTGTACCGCCCTCCCAGGCCCCGTCGCGCCCCTCCCAGGCCCCGTCGCACCCCTCCCAGTCCCTCTAGCGCCCCTCCTGGGCCCCGTCGCGCTCCTCCCAGGCCCCGTAGCGCCCCGTCGCGCCCCTCCTGGGCCCCGTAGCGCCCCTCCAAGGCCCCGTCGCGCTCCTCCCAGGCCCCCTAGCGCCCCTCCTGGGCCCCGTCGCGCTCCTCCCAGGCCTCGTAGCGCCCCTCCTGGGCTCTTTCGCGCCCCTCCTGGGCTCCGTAGCGCCCCTCCTGGGCCCCGTCGCGCCCCTCCTGGGCCCCGTAGCGCCCCTCCTGGGCCCCGTCGCGCCCTCCTTGGGCCCTGTAGCGCCCCTCCTGGGCCCCGTCGCGCCCCTCCCCGGCCCCGTAGCGCCCCTCCTGGGCCTCGTCGCGCCCCTCCTGGGCTTCGTAGCGCCTCTCCTGGGCCCCCCGTCGTGCCCCTCCTGGGCCCCGTAGCGACCCTCCTCGGCCGCGTCGTACCCGTCGCCGCCGCCCGGCCCCGTCGTGCCCGCCCGGCGCCGTCGCGCCCGCCCGACCCCGTCGCCGCCGCCCGGCCCCGTTGCGCCCGCCCGCCGCCGTCGCCGCCGCCCGGCCCCGTCGCGCCCGCCCGGCGCCGTCGCCGCCGCCCGGCCCCGTCGCGCCCGCCCGGCGCCGTCGCACCCTGCCTGGCCCGTCGCGCTCGCCCGGCCCCGTCGCAGCCGCCCGGCCCCGTCGCACCCGCCCGGCCCCGTCGCACCCTGCCCGGCCCCTTCACAGCCGCCCGGCCCCGTCGCACCAGCCCGGCCGCCGTCCCGCTCGCCCGGCCCCGTCGCACCGGCCCGGCCCTGCCGCACTCGCCCGGCCCCGTCGCCCCAGCCCGGCCCCGTCGCGCCCGCTCGGCCCCGTCGCCCCGTCCCGGCCCTGTCGCATCAGCCCGGCCCCGTCGCGCCCGCCCGGCCCCGTCGGGCCAGCCCCGGCCCCGTCCTCCTCACTGGTACGGTCCCCCCCCCCCCCCCCCCCCCCCCCCCCCCCCCCCCCCCCCCCCCCCCCCCCACCCCGCCCTGCTCCGTGCCGCCCTGCACCGCACTGCACCGCACTGTACCGCACTGCACCGCACTGCACCGCACTGTACCGCACAGTACCGCACTGCACCGCACTGCACCGCACTGTATCGCACTGCACCGCACCCCACCTAGCTGCACCGCCCTGCACAGCACTGGACTGTTCCTGATGGC